TCATGGGGCCCCCTACTGACCCCGGGCCCTCGGGCAGTGCCCGAGTTTCCAAATGGTCAGTCCGCCCCTGCTTGAGAGCACATAAATATTTGACCCTTAACTTGATTTCTTGATCGAGAACAACCATGAACTGCAGTCCTGTATGTATTATGTGTTCCTTGCACCTGAAGTCTTTGTAGGAGATGGCGGTAAACACATTGGGTGTCTAGTAATATGTACCCGCTACAAGTGGCACACTGCTTTGAATGCCAGGCCCCACTACCCATTATCCTTCTTGCTCAGCCATGGATCCATAGAACCCTAGCGTTTCTCTAGAAATTGACAGGGGTTCTTTGAGCTGTGACTGATTGACCTCCCATCGAACGGTGCCTATATAGTTCCAGTCCAGGACCCCATTATCTTTTTAGTTGTGCGTATGGCCCTGTTCACACTTGACTGTTTTTGAGCTTCGAGCTACAACCTACAAAACACTCAATAGCCATCGTTCACATCTGAGCGTACTGTCGCTTGTAGCAAAATACTGTCACTCAAAAAAGTACACAAGCAACTCTTCAGGCAAAACTGAGCATTTTTGTCCTCACAGATGTCAATGGAAATGCGACTTGAGCATTTTCCCACACATTTTCAACTCACACAGCAGTTCTCTGCCCTTTTTTAGCTTTCCATCGGCCACATAAATGCCAAGTTGATAAACGCCTGACAAAAGCTGCAAAAACGTGCAATTCTGCTCCAAAAAGCACTTGAAAATGTGTTGCTTAGGTGGAAATATGGCCTCAGGGTTGTATTCTTCCCCCTGACCACCAAGAGCATAGTGAATCCCATTGAATTTAGTTCCTTTGGTATACAAAGTTTAAGAATGGCTGCTGTAGATTATAAGCCAGTATTGGGCAGTGGTATCCTCTCTGATTTTACTACCTCGTCTGGGCATAACAGGTTTTGCTATGTGGTGAACAGGGCTGCTGTTATAAACCATGGGACCCCATACGGCCAACCTGACAGGGCCACGCCCCCCCCCTTCAAAAAAGAAAAAAGTTTACTAGGCTCCAGTTATGAATGAACACAGTGAGTGATTAGCAATTGCTCTATGTGTTCATTCAGAAAAGGAAGAGGCTGGTAAATGTGACATTTACCAGACCCTTTCCCCACTCTCCATCCTGACGGAACCTATTGTGTGCTTGCAGCTGCTGGTAGGTAGGAGAGGAGGGGAGCTGGCAGCACTGCACAGGGGGGGGGGGGGGACACTGGGGGACCTGGGCAGCAGGGAGAAATATATGAGGCACTGGGAGGGTGATAGGTGCACCAGGGGGGGCAATTACTGGAACGGATCCCTGTATGGCTCCCGCAGCTAAAAGACAGCAAGAGGGAGAGGAAAAGAAGCCAGCTCTCAGTTGCTGCAGAGAGCCATACAGGGGATTAGTTCCAGTAATTGTCCTCGCAATACCAAATCACCTGCCCACATCCAATTCACCCAGCTGCCTGTGCCCCGTACAGGAGGGTAGGTGGTACCCCCTTATCCACAGCCCTGTGGGTGAATGTACCATTTAAATGTCTTATGGTTTTTATTATGGTGATGAAGACTTGTTAGGAAGAGGTTGTCAAACCCACAGGCAATGATTGTGCTATAAAACATCATAAAAAAAATACACTTTAAATACAGCTGATGTACGCAGCAAAGCAGTCATTTCTTACACCAGGTAATAATGCTGAGTAACAGCTTGTTTGGTCTCTGACTACGGACCTGTCTGTCCAGTTGTCTCATCTCAGAAACACGTCTGTGTGGACTATAGGTCAGAAGGGCATTTTCCATTCCATATTGCAGCCCAAAAAAAAAAAAAAACACCTTTGTATTACAACACATGGAATACGCCAACAGGCTGCTGTGTTGACCAATAGTTTCTCCTCGAATAAAAGCCATGTGTGACCTTGTTCAAACTTACGATCGATCAGGAAAGATTCAGAATTGTAGAGAGAACTGTCTGCAGCTACACCAACGTGATGTCACACAGCCTCAGTTCTTAAATACAAGTTATAGGTTTGAAACTTGGGGACGGCCTGCTCATGCTTCCTTGGTTTTAGAATTTAAAGTACAACTAAAGTCAAAACATTGTTTTGGATAGTGTGGAGATGGATCAGAACACCTATTAGGTCTCTCTCTCTGTGCCCTCTCTATTGGTCCGGTTTACCATTGAAAGCAAAAGAAAATCCCAAAAGTAAATTTAAAAAAAAAAAAAAGGGGGGGGGTGATCTTTCAATGGGAAGACCAGTTCTGGAGACCTGGGAGTCCCCCCAATAGATTCCCTTCAGTTGTCAGGATTTCCTCTGAGTTCCTGTTTTAGCTATGGGAAAGAAGGTAAATCTTCCCAAAAAGGGACACAGATGACAATAAAAATAAAGACAGGGGGTCTAAAAAATTAAAAAAAAAAAAAAGTGTTACCTGTTCAAGTAACATGTATGTTCACTGTGCCAGAAATCTAGTGCTAGCCTAGGTAGTCTGTACAGCTTACCCTAGGGCTGGACATACATTATTCTTGGTTTAGATTTTACCAAAAATCAAAAAAAGAAAGTCAAACCTAACACATTCAATTGTAGCCAATTAGGCAGGTCCTTGCACTAAATAGTTTAAGGTAAATCTAAATGAAATTGGGCAGAAAAATTGTATAGTGTATGGCCAGCCTAACCCTTCCCAGTTCACTGCTGAATTACAGAACAACTCCCCTCTTCGTTATGGAGATAAGGAAATTGGTGTTCTGTAGTCCAGTCTTAGGGTGACAGCACTTCTATATTAGCACAGTGGGTGTGTTGTCACCAGGGTGGATAAAAATCAATGATTAAAAAAAAAAAAGTTTATTTAAAAATCAGTTTTTTGAATAAAATGCTTTTTGGAGGAATATGTATTACCATCCAAAGGTTATTCCATCATGAAATAAAGATTCGTTTTTTAATTATGTAGAATAAGGCTGTATATGTTTAATTTTTTTGGTAAATAAATTCCATGAATCCATTCACAATGTCATGCTCTTCCAGAGGTTTTTGTAAGATTATTGGGCAGTTTCTCTGCCTACAAGATATTATCACAGATGTTGGTTTACTTTTGCAGTTCTCAAAACTGAATTTGACTCAGCGGAGATCACATGCCTCTTCTTCACAGCAAAAATGTTATAACATGAACAGAGTAAAGAAAAAAGACCTTCATCCTAACTTCTACAAACCTATGAATACAGAATCAACCCCTTCAGTGCTAAGTTTCAAGAAGTTCAGTGAATAGAAACAATATTTTTCTGATTGTTTGGAGTGGAATAGATCTGCACAAGAAGAAAGTGAAACTAAGTGTGAGGGGGAGGGGCTGAGAGTCTAAGTTTCTTAAAATATATAGATTTTGTTTAGCCAAATTAGTTACCAAACATGGATGTTGAAGCAAATCACATATGCTGGAACGTTATTGTTTCAGTTGACTAAATCTATTTAAATTGTTATTATTAAGGGAATGATTATTTTTCTCCTTCCTAAGTACAACAGAAAAGTTGTCCAAATATGAATGATTAACCTATTAAACTGGGGATAAGAAAAAAAATTAATATGAAAAGTTGTTATTCTAAAAATCTTCATCTACTTGCATATTAAAGTTATACCAGCAAGAATTAGTAAGGCTTGATATAAATCCTAGTTTTCTACATAAAGACTGACTAGTGATTTAAATCAAATCCACCCTGGTTGTCACCCTAGCACAGGAAGTGTTTCTGGTAGGATCGGGGGGGGGGGGGGGGGCGCGCGCATCAATGGAAAGGAGATCAGCCACCACATCTAGCGACTGATAGGCTGCACTATATTACATTTAATTTTTTTTCCTCTGGATTTAGAAAACTATTAGGTTGTTTTAGCATTCTAAATATCTTGAGCGCTTGCCACTCATCCTAAGATTAAATATACAACATGATGGTTTTTTACAAAACCATAAAGCTCCTGAGACCTATAAACACCCTTCATTACCCAATGGGGTACCCGATAGATGCAGGTGTCAGTAACAATTCTACTGGCCAGTAGTAGAGAATAGCCATGATGATGATTAAAAAAAAAAAAAAAAAAAAAAAAAAAAAAAGGGAAGAGGACACCCTGGACAGTATCAGGGTAATAGCACACCATACCCTAAGGACAATGAAGACTCACACAAGAGCTGCATTGAATGCAAATACAATTTATTCTCCATGTCTTGGACAAGAAGCAAAAAACAAAATGCTATAAGTTGTTTCAGGCCCTCTGTCCGCAAAAGTAGAAAACAAAAATACAAAAATAAAAATATAAATATTCTCAAAATTCAAAATAAATTAACAAAACCGTCTACAAGAAATAAAACGTTTTCATGGAAAACTTGGAAAGACAGCAAAAGACTGAGTGTTACAATCAAACGGAAGATACTGCACGTTCACCATGTGTCCGGCTTCAGGGAGGGGGGTAGGGTTTCATATATATTTATATATCATATATACTCTAGATCATAAAAGTCTTGGCTGTTATGGAGCTCCATATGAGAGCGGCCCACAAGCAGCCAGCACCATGACAAGTTGCTGTATGAACAGCCCGTAGCTTCCAAACCAGAAGATGAAAACACAAGACGTGTAAAAACACCATCACTGACGCAGCAGCGAGGATACAACATGCTACATATTAAAAAACAGGAGTCACAAGGTCCATGCCAGTGCTACATGTCAGGAAGAGGTATTGGCCTTCGGTGGCAGTTGGAAGAAGAGGGAGACATCTGCCAGTCACAGCCAGAGAGACAGGGTGGCAGTTGTTGGGCACTGGGAAGGTTGGCAACCCTTGCTCTAGCAGTGACAGTGTGCTCATTCGAGGATTTTCACAACTACAACTTTGGCCAGAGATGAATGGACTACACATGCACAGTGTACACTTATAGCAGCAAGGAGGCAGTCTTACTAGATGAGGAGGAAACCACATCCCTTATTGCCTGTGGAGAGAGTCACCAAGCTGTGACCACTGTGTGGCTACAGTCCTAGGTCACCTTCACCTTGGGCATTACAAGGCCAGTAGAGTTGGTGAGTTGAGAGAGTCTGAGGATTGCTCGTTGCTGCTGCTCCCCCTCCTATGGGCTGTTCCGCAGTTGGGGAAGGGTTCAGACTCTGGGTATGTGAAGACAAAAGATGTGTGGTGTAGGTGGTACATGTTGGGGTGCAGGTGACAACAGGGGTACACAGAGGCTCCATGTCCACAGACAAGGTGTTATACAGAGGCTCCCATTCAGATGTGTATAGCGTGCTTGACAAATCCACATCGGGAACAGAGCGAGCGGCGTCAGAAGATCCTGTGGAAGGAGAGCCGAACAGGAAGTCATCCAGAGGCTCAGATTTAAGTTCCAGGGATACCTGCAACTGAGAGGTTTCCTTCTCAGGGATGGAAGACTGTGGGAGGCTGACTGAAAACATAGGCTCCACTAAGACTTCCTGGGAGCTGGAAGAGCTGGTCACTTCTGGGATCAAGGCCAGATCCAAGGAAGATGTCAGGGAGGGTGTCAGATCCAAGGTTGAGGCCAAGTCTTGGAAGGTTCCATCCAAGTCATGTGGAATCTTGCAGGCAGGTTTATGAGCAGCAAGGATAAACTCAAGCTTTTCCTTCTCCTTCAGAAGGGCTGCAATCTCAGCCTGCAGAACTGACTTCTCCTCATCCTCAAGCTCATCAGTTTCCTGAACAGAAGAAGATCATCAATTAGGGGGATTCTAGCACACAGAAACACCACATAGTATGCAAGGCCAAATCTTTACAACAAAGCTTAAAAAGGACCTCTACTTACAGCTTGGAGGGTGTCAGTCAGCTCTCTGCGACGGTTACGGCATTTAGCTGCCGCCATCTTGTTCCTTTCACGTCTAATTCTCCTTTTCTCCTCTTCCTCGGGAGAAAGCTGTGAAAATAAAAAAAGGACAGCCGGTCAGAAATCCGGAATACATCTGCAGAGTCTCATGTGTAATGAGAGCAAAAAGCAGACTGCAAATCACACGCCATCTGGACAATTACCTGTTCAACTTTTCCTCTCCTGCCCTGGCTCTGTCCTCTTCCAGAGGAGCCTTTCAACACGCCGCTGCGGCTGTAGGCTGGGGCTGCTCCATAGGGGTGAACTCTGGTCTGAGATGGGGCCACAGATGAAACAAGTGTAGGTTGCACCAACCACTGCAGGTCTGGTGAGGTGGAGATGGCTGTGACTGTGGGGACAAAGCTGGTGTTGGAGTCAGTGCCGAATTCCTGAAAAGAAAGAAAAAAAGGGGACATTAAGTATACAGTGTGGCAAGTTACAGTGTTCCCCCCCTCCCTCCCTCTGTGCACACATGCTGAATGGGCTGATCCAGAGGGAGCTGCATTTCCAATCCCAGCACACCAGACAGAAGGGGATAAAAATAGCTCTGACGCCACCAGTGACGCAGAGGCCGCTCTGGAGTCTCCTGAATGAACTCTGGAAGTGTTTTATCAATGAATCCGCTTTACACACACAGGAGGGGGGGGGGGGGGTGCTGCTCAGCAGTCAATGCACCATGCAGCAAGCAGGCAGAGCTGCAAAGTCTGCCCTATGCAACCCAATCCAGCCTGCATTCACCCCAATCCATGTTGCTGGTGTACCCCAGCCTAGTATCAGCACTGCACACCCTAATCCAGACTGCATTCACCCTAATCCATGACATCTGCACCCTAATCCATGTTACCAGTGTATCCCAGCCTAGTATCAGCACTGCACACCCAAATACAGACAGCATTAACCCCCATCCACATCACCTGAACCCTAATCCCTGTTACTGGTGTACCCCAACCCATATCATCAAGCACCTCAATCCAAACAGTATTAACTCCAGTACATAGCAGCACTGTGCACCCCAATACATCCCCAACACTGCACACCCCCAATCCATGGTATCCATATACCCCAACACTGCACACCCCCAATCCATGGTACCGATATACCCCAACACATCATTGACACTGTGCACCCCCAATCCGTGGTACCCATATACCCCAACACATCATTGACACTGTGCACCCCCAATCCGTGGTACCCATATACCCCAACACATCATTGACACTGTGCACCCCCAATCCGTGGTACCCATATACCCCAACACATCATTGACACTGTGCACCCCCAATCCGTGGTACCCATATACCCCAACACATCATTGACACTGTGCACCCCCAATCCATGTTAACTTTGTACCCCAACATATCACCAACACTGTGCACCCCAATCCAGTCACCACCTGCAGCCCAATGTAGATACCATTAACCCCAATCCATGATTGGCACTATGCACCCCGAATCCAGACACCCTTAGTCCCTGTCTGCCCAATGCACCCCACCCAGTGTCCATGCTCCTCAATCCACATCACCTGTACACCCCAATCCAATCACCCCTCCCTCCCATCCAGACATTGTGACCTACATCCAGACTCCGCACCTCCCGTACAGGGTATGAGGAACACCCCAGAAGCAGATCTATATCCCCTCCACCATGTCATGTGTCACCCACTTACCGGCGGGGTGAGCGGGGATCCCAGGCTGGAGAAAGAAGCGGTCGGGGACGGGTAGTAAGTCATGCTGTCCGCGGCGGGAGAAGCGCTGCTGCACCGGGAGGATGCCGCCTCGTAGTCGGTGCTGTTGCTGGAGAAGCCGTGGTACATGTCTGCTGTGTATAAAGCGCGATATCGTCCGATAGATCCGGAGCTGTCACTGCCAGAACTCACCGCTCTGCTGCCTTTTATACCCGCTGAAATTTATGAATGGGTGACGTAGACAAGGGGCAGACCATGTGTACCGGGGGGGAGAGGATCGGTCCACACAGCCCTTCCGCTGCCTCCGGTACACGAATCACAATGCTGGAGCTTGATCGGTCAGCGCACCCGCGTTATCACCGACCCTGACCCATCACAGTGCACTACAACAAGCACAATGTGTCAGAGGATCCCCCCCTTGGGTTACCGGCACTTGGTTTGGCCATCGGGAATCCACTGACGCAGTTATCCTTATAAGGAAAACATCCGTCCGGAGGGCGGGGCTGCCGGGAAGAGCCCTGAGAGCAGAGCTAGGGGGAGGTGTTCTATACACTGCCATAGGAACACAACACACAGACATACACACAGTATACAATCCACACTGCACACTGCCATAGGAACACAACACACAAGTATACAAATCCACACTGCACACTGTCATAGGAACACAACACACACACAATCCACACTGCCAAAGGAACACAACACACACTCCACACTGCCATAGGAACACAACACACACACAATCCCCACTGCACACTGCCATAGGAACACAACACACACAGTATACAATCCACACTGCACACTGTCATAGGAACACAACACACACACAATCCACACTGCCAAAGGAACACAACACACACTCCACACTGCCATAGGAACACAACACACACACAATCCACACTGCCATAAAACACAACACACACACAATCCACACTGCCATAGGAAACACAACACACACAGTATACAATCCACACTGCACACTGCCATAGGAACACACACACACACACAATCCACACTGCCATAGGAACACAACACACACAGTATACAATCCACAACTGCACACTGCCATAGGAACACAACACACACAGTATACAATCCACACTGCACACTGCCATAGGAACACAACACACACAGTATACAATGCACACTGTCATAGGAACACAAACACACACACAATCCACACTGCACACTGCCAAAGGAACACAACACGCACAGTATACAATCCACACTGCACACTGCCATAGGAACACAACACGCACAGTATACAATCCACACTGCACACTGCCATAGGAACACAACACACACAGTATACAATCCACACTGCACACTGTCATAGGAACACAAACACACACACAATCCACACTGCACACTGCCATAGGAAACACAACACACACAGTATACAATCCACACTGCACACTGTCATAGGAACACAACACACACACAATCCACACTGCCAAAGGAACACAACACACACTCCACACTGCCATAGGAACACAACACACACAGTATACAATCCACACTGCCATAGGAACACAACACACACACAATCCACACTGCCATAGGAACACAACACACACAGTATACAATCCACACTGCACACTGCTATAGGAACACAAGACACACACAATCCACACTGCCATAGGAACACAACACACACAGTATACAATCCACACTGCACACTGCCATAGGAACACAACACACACACAATCCACACTGCACATTGTCATAGGAACACAACACGTACAGTATACAATCCACACTGCACACTGCCATAGGAACACAACACACACACAATCCACACTGCCATAGGAACACAACACACAGTATACAATCCACACTGCACACTGCCATAGGAACACAACACACACAGTATACAATCCACACTGCCATAGGAACACAAAACACACACAGTATACAATCCACACTGCACACTGTCATAGGAACACAACACACACACAATCCACACTGCACACTGCCATAGGAACACAACACACACAGTATACAATCCACACTGCACACTGTCATAGGAAACACAACACACACACTATACAATCCACACTGCACACTGCCATAGGAAACAAACACACACAGTATACAATCCACATGGCACACTGGCATAGGAACACAACACACAACACAATCCACACTGCCATAGGAACACAACACGCACAGTATACAATCCAGACTGCACACTGTCATAGGAAACACAACACACACAATCTACACTGCACACTGCCATAGGAAACACAACACACACAGTATACAATCCACACTGCCATAGGAACACAACACACACAGTATACAATCCACACGGCACACTGGCATAGGAACACAATACACACTATACAATCCACACTGCCATAGGAAACAACAACACACACAATATACAATCCACACTGCACACTGCCACAGGAACACAACACACACACAATCCACACTGCACACTGCCATAGGAACACAATCCACAATGCCATAGGAACACAACACCCACAGTATACAATCCACACTGCCATAGGAACACAACACGCACAGTATACAATCCACACTGCCATAGGAACACAACACACACAGTATACAATCCACACTGCCTTAGGAACACAACACACACAATATGCAATCTGCACTGTCATAGGAACAGTACACACATACATTATACAATCTACACTGTACAATGTCATGGGGACACAACACACAGTATACAATCTACACTGTACTCTGATATGGGGACACAAAACACACACACACTATACAATCCACACTGTACACTGCCGTAGGAAACACAACACACACACTATACAATCCACACTGTACACTGCCACTGGAACACAAACACACACAGTATACAATCTACACTGTACACTGCCATAGGAACACAACACATACAATATACAATCTGCAATGTCATCGGAACAGAACACACATACAGTATACAATCTACACTGTACACTGTCATGGGGACACAACACACAGTATGTAATCTACACTGTACTCTGATATGGGGACACAACACACACACTATACAATCCACACTGCCGTAGGACCACAACACACACACAATATACAATCGACACTGTACACTGCCATAGAAACACAACACACACAATATACAATCCACACTTTACACTGCCATGACAACACACACAATATACAATCTACACTGCCGTAGGAACACAACACACACAATATACAATCCACACTTTACACTGCCATGGCGACACAACACATACAATCTACACTGTACATTGTTATGGGGACACAACATACACAGAACATATTCCATACCGTACAGTGGTTACACAACACACACATAGTATACAATTCACACTGTATACCAACACACACACTATACAATCCATACAATGTACTGCCATTGGGACTCAGCATATACAGTATACAATCCACACTGCCATGGGGACACAACACACAAACAGTATACAATATATACTGTATATTATGTCTGTTACAAAACAATTCAAATGCAGTGTGAAGACAAATGTTTCTCAAAGCTACCACAAGTGTGATTTTCTAGGTACAAACATCTGTCTGGTTGTTATGGGCAACAGCATAACTTTCCCTTTCGGGCTGATGACATGTATAGGAAGCCTCTTGCTAGGATACCCTCAGTGGTGGGGGCAGGAAACCTCAGCCCTGCTCTCACTTTGTTTTGGTCTGTTGTTCTCTTCCTGGAAGCTCCCTCCCTGTATGAGGGCCCAGTGCAAGACTCCCTCCTCCTCCTCCAATGTGAGGCCAGTGCAGGACTCCCTCCTCCTCCTCTAATGTGAGGCCAGATCAGGGTTTCCCTGTCTGGGCTTGTGAGATTTGCAAAGGGATTCCCTCAGAAAGCTGTGACATCATAGGACTGCTCAGACTGGATTTTCAATAAACAAGCTGTGCACGCCGTGTCCACGTTGCTTGTGTGTTCCCACACCCAACTGTACATGTCAGAGGACTGTCCACCCCGCCTGTATTCCTAACCATTCACCCTGAAAAAGACACACATTGTAATACAATAGTCAGCCCCAAAACCTTTGTAGTATATTTTTTCTTTGGATTTCAAACATTTCCACCTCCCGAGGATTCATGAGATTTTAATTCATTTTAAGAAAATGTACTGTATCTGCGAACTATAATAGAGGAAGTAGTGTCACCCCCCCCTCGATGTGCAGTGTGGTGGGGACATAAAAGTCACATATAGGAAAATCATGTATGTTCAGGTATGTGTTCATTTCCATTGTGTGATTAGCTGTTTGGCCAGAGATCAGCTTTTAACCCTATTTATCTGTTTTAATTTGTGCAAACATATTATCATCACATAGATAATATATGAGGTGTGACAATTTAAATCCTGGAATGAACTGTACAAAAAAAAGACGTTTGTGCAGGAGCATTATCATGGTGGAGAATCCACTTGTCAGGCCAGAGTTTCGGTCTTGTCCTCCATATTCCCTTAACCCAGGGGTGGGCAACTGTGGCCCTTCAGCTGTTGGTTAACTACAAGTCCCATCATGCCTCTGCCTTTGGGAGTCATGCTTGTAACTGTCAGTTTTGCAATGCCTCATGGGACTTGTAGTTTTACAACAGCTGGAGGGCCACAGTTACCCACCCCTGCTTTAACCTTTTCAGAATTTCCACGTAACATTGTTGGCTGACCGATCATGTTCTATAAACTTGCAGTGAACTATCCTCTTGTGCTAAAAAGAAAACTCATACCAGCATGAGCATTCAAGGGTTCACACTCTATCCACATTTACAACTGTCCTTTGCATTTTTGGCTGCCCACTTCTTGCGTCACCGGGGGGATATCTTCCTGCCCCTCCTTAAACTGCCTATGCCATTCAGAAACACTTGATTTATTCATGGGAATGTTCACCATAATCCTGTGGTAACAGAGCTAATGTTTTGCTCACGTTTGGAAATTTTCACACAAAATTTGATGTTAATCTGCTTCTCCAGATTCCTGTCGCTCATTTTCCATCAACAGCACAATGCACAAACCTGTTATTTCCTCTACTATTCCGTAAAGGCTGAGTCAACTGGTCTGC